GAAATGGGTAAAATAAATATATTTACATTGCTGGGTAGACTTAGCTCTTTAAAGATCATCCAGTTTAAGAATTTTTTTTTTGATAATTTGATCCTTTGTTCAAAACTTAAATCCATACATTGAAGCACCACATTTACTAAAGAATCAGCACTGTGTAAAACGCATAGAATAAAGGCACAATTCTTGCTCTGAGGCACACAGTTTAAAAGGCAGAATGTACAAGGAGACCTAGTGAATGGTACCTTAGGGAAGCTGGGATGTTGAACAAAACAGGCCTGGTGATGATGTGCCATTAACATGGGTTAGTTTGAAGGACTGGGATTAAGTATGAGGGGCAATAGAGAAGAAGTTATGAACTGAGAATGAGAGGAAAAACATGAAAGGAGCAGTGACGTCGTTGGTAGAACAAGGACATAAGGAACAATAACATTAGGGGTAAAATTGTCCTTTTACATTTGGCCTTCCTTATATTTGACTGTTAGCCAAAGGGTAGCTATTAGAGTAATTGAATAGAAAGGAAAGTTATGTTAGCAATGGCCAAAGATCTTTTTGCTTCCTAAGTATCTGTGTGTAACAGGGAGAGAAGGGTGCTTCTGAAAGGAATCAAGAAAGAAAAGCTTTTTTTGTATCTCATGTAACTATTTCCTATGAATTAGGAGTGCCCACATGCAAAGGTGCTGGATCTAGGAGTGCTTGCATACTTCTGGCTTGAAGTTTCCCTTATGTACAGGGTTTTCAGTTTGGTTCAGTGGTTCTCAGCACCCTCACTATACAAATTGCTCCAGCACTGCTGCCACCATGTTTCTGTAATGAAACTTGTGACTGTGATAATGCAGTTCTTAAACTGTAAATAATGTGACATTGACTTTAAATGGCTACATTAGATTAAGCAACTACTACACATATTGGTTAACTTTTTATGGTGGTTGAATTGATTGAAATTTGTTATCCCATGTGTTTCAAGAATGAGATTTCACTCACTCTGAAGACTCCTTTTAAAATTATTAACCTCTGTTAAGAGATTAGAGGTTTCAAGTATATTCAATAACCTATGGAAAAAGTGTTTTTGTGTAACATAAGAGGACATAATCAACTGTCCAAATACTTTCTGTTTCCATTTAGATTATTATAGAGGAATACTATTTTAATAGAAAAATGGGCAAAAGGGCATCTGTCATTTCTCTGTTTTGCTCTGAAAACAGCTGGCACATATTTGGGTTTGGTTTTTTTTTTAATGCTTCTCAGCATTAAATACTAACCTTATGCAAAGAAACCAAAATTATAGCTGCAGAGATCTTGCAGTTGTAACTCCCATTTTATGAGATGAAAGCATGTATGTAGGTGTATAATATTTTTTATACCACATTGATTAGAAATAATAGTAAAATATGGTTTATTGATGGACTTTATGGAAAAGTAATGGAAAACCTGACCATTACAGTTGTGTTTGCTAAAAACAGATTTTTTTTCCCCCCAATTGTTCAGGACTTTATGCTGGAATTAAGTTTTTCCTTATTGATTTTATCTTCAAACGATGCCCAAGACTTCGAGCTAAGTATGATACTCCTTATATCATCTGGACAAATCTGCCTACAGATCCTCAACTCAAAGAAAGATCTAATGCTACAGTCTCAAGACGGGTAAGTAAAGTTTTGTGTTTTTACGTGCCTGACAAAGTCCACTTTTTCTTTTATTTGCAGTGACTAGAGCACATTGAGGGAGGGGTAATTGTTAAACCTAATTTCAATTTTCACACTTCCGTGGTAGTCTGACATGTTTTTATTTTTAAATCAGGGGTCCCCATATTCATAAAGTGAATTGCTTTTTGTAGACAAGGATTTAAAAAAAAATTTTAAACAAAAGTGTTTTGGTATTCTAAGGCTTATCACAAGAAAAATTACTAAAATAGTATCTACATCACAAGTAAATATAAGGCTTTTTTATCCATATGCCATAAGTGAGTACTCAGTGTGTTATCTAGATAAAGAATCACTGTGACTTTTAAAAGTACCCATTCAATAATATCAGAGGGGTAGCTGTGTTAGTCTGGATCTGCAGAAGTGACAAGGAGTCCTGTAGCACCTTACAGACTAGCAGATGTATTGGAGCATAAGCTTTCGTGGGCAAAGACACACTTTGTCAGATGCATTTGATGAAGTTAGTCTTTGCACATGAAAGCTTATGCTCCAATGCATCTGTTAGTCTATAGGGTGTTACAGGATTCCTTGTCGCTTTTCCATTCAATAAAAGTTTTAGTTTAGTTGAATAAATGATGAATAGATGTTGTTGTAAGAATCTTACAAACCTAAGTGTGATTACAGACATAAATATGGTTATAAGTGCATCAGTAAAAAACATAGAAGATGAGTGTAAATCAGCCTTCACCATTTTTTAGCTTTAATAATTGATTTAAACATTTATTAAAACCTTAACTCTTTCATAAACTGTTTATAAATGTACCATTAGTATAAACTATAGTTTCATTCTGCTTTCCACATAATTACTAGCAATACAGTTTTTGTAATAAGAAACAATAACTTTGTTGCATAAGGCACATTGGAATGCAACATGTTTTTTCCACATCTGTGAGTTTGACAGTGTTTTACAACAGTCATTATTTTCAAAATATTGAAATATTTTTTAAAATACAGGCGCGCTATTTTGCCATCTCTGTAAATCTCATTGCATGAGAGTTAAGGGATGGCTTGAAATAGTGTTATTTTGAAATGTGGTGCTGTGTAGACAGCGCCAAATTTTGAAATAGACTCAAAATAAGCTATGCTATTTGCATAGAACAAATTGCATATCTTGTTTTGAATTTAGGCTGCTGTATAGATGCACCCTTAGATACGCTTACAAGGAATGGTTACATCGAGTAGAGGTAGCTACAAATAGAATTTTATCATAGAACTTTCTTTTTGTCCCCACTATATAATGAGTGTTTTAACAATCATTAATAGCAATGATTCTCAACCTGTTTTTAATTTGCAGGCTCCTAACAAATTTCAGATGGCAATAAGCCCCTTTGGAAATCTTAGATATAGTCTGTAGATCTCCACGTTTGTGAACCATAGGCTGAAAACTACTGTTCTTTGGTAACGACATCCTTTCACTGATCCCTTTTCCATATTCTGTGGTCCACTGATTTATAGACATGTAATCAACCTTTAAAGAACAGTATGTCTCTTCCGTTTCCTGAAAGATTTTTAAAATTCTATATTTTTAAAAGTATGATGCCTTCCAAGAGATAGGATTCCTTTCCACCACCCCACTTTCCCCACTTTAATGGGGTCTGGTTTCTAAACTAATCACTAGGACTCAGAGAGAAGCAAAGGTGGTAGCCAACTTTATACAAACCCTTCTACTCTCCATTCGGTGCTTAACCAGGAGGTTAAGTATTTATGTCTTAAAGCTTTTCTGAATCTCTTCAAGGAGGTCTCATGCTCTGTTAAAAAGCAGTGCTAACATTACATTAATCCTTGAACAAAGGGGTGAGAATGAGGATAATACTGTGAGGATAACACTTCCACTGGAGAACGTTTTTATGCTTTCCTGTTCTTTTCCATGGAGGCATCCTTATACTATGGTAATTCCAAAGGCAAGATGATAAATAGTCCATATCTGCCTAGCTGTTTTATAAGACTAGATTCATAGACAGTGTTTTTAATGCAAAGATGTTCTTTGTTTTGAATTTTTTCATCCTGTGCTTGGTAAGGATGTTAAGGACTAGTCGACTATATTGTAAGAAAAAGCTTATCAGATAGTCCGGTCGACTGGTTGATTCCCTCACCGCCCCATGCTGCCTCTATCGGCATGTACCCAGGCTCCGTGTAGTGTTCCTGCTTTAAAACGCAGAGGCAGTGTTTCAAAGGGGCAGTGCTGCACAGCTAACCTTGGGCTCAGTTGTGTGGCACTGCCTCTTTGAAACGCCACCACTGTGTTTCAAAGCGGCGGCGCTGAGTGGAGTCTGGGGTCAGTTGCGGACTCCCCAGCTGATCCCTGACTCCATTTCCACAGAACCCCAGGTCTCCGTGTGACATTTCAAAGCAGCAGTGCTGTATGGAGCCCAGGTCAGCGGGAGACTCGTGAGTCCCCCACTGGCCGCAGGCTCCAGAGGGCACTTCTGCTTTTGAAATGCACAAGAGCCCCTGCTGGGAACTCTTGTACATTTCAAAGCTGGCACACCACGTGCAGCCCGGAGTCAGCAGGACTTCCCGCTGGCCCCAGGCTGCACACTGAGTTCCAAATTCCTCCTTTGAAATGTACAAGAGCCCCAGTGGCAGCTCTTGTACAGTTCAAAGGAGGAATTCGGAATTGCCTATTGAGTAGTCGATGGAAATTCCATTGACTTCTTGACTAGTAAATTACTCCTTTAACATCCTTAATGCTCAATACTAAGAGTGCTACGAACTGACAGTGAAATCAGAAGCAGCAAACAATCGTCTTGTTTGTACAAATTAAGGGCTTGATCCTGCACCTACATGATGGGCATTTATGCATTGTGTGTGATAAAAAGGGCTCAATCCTCTGAGAAACACCAGCTTGTAGAACTGTGCATTATACTATCAGTCAGGACACAAGAAAATAAAGTGCAAGAAAGCTTTTCAGATGCAGCTGTGCACTGCATTGTCAGAATTCAGGCGTTGGGCTAGATCTAAATAAAGGGGCATGCCTTGAAATGCCTAACTCTTACGTTTCCTTCTGGTGAACAGAAGTCAGAACCCTTAGTTTAGTGTTCGAGCTCCCTTTACAGTGCATTGGGAGAGTTAAGCACCCTAAGAAAAGGAATTCTTAAAAGATAGAAAAGTAAGCAGCTGTGCACTGCATTGTCAGAATTCAGGCGTTGGGCTAGATCTAAATAAAGGGGCATGCCTTGAAATGCCTAACTCTTACGTTTCCTTCTGGTGAACAGAAGTCAGAACCCTTAGTTTAGTGTTCGAGCTCCCTTTACAGTGCATTGGGAGAGTTAAGCACCCTAAGAAAAGGAATTCTTAAAAGATAGAAAAGTAAG